GGGAGAGATAGTTTTAAATACCATCCTCTATAGGTGCCCCGACTTCCTTACTGTACCTGGACCTTTCTTCTGAGCCCAGATATATATCTACTCTTACTTTACCATCTTTCTTTTATCTCTCACAGACATCTCCAATCTCTGTCTAAATGGACTCTTGGGTTTTAAATTCCCCACCCACCCACCAAATGAACTCAGCAAATGGCGCTCCAATGTACTAGTCGCTAAGCAGTAACCAGCGACTTGCTCTTTGCTCCACTCTCTCCTCTCCTTCTGCATCTAGTCCAACCTGCTCGTTCTGTCTCCAAAAAGCATCTCACGTGTGTCCACTCCACTGCCACCCACTATGCCAAGGCAGCGTCACCTCTGGGCTGGGTTGAGCCAATAGCCTCCTTTGAAGTCACTCTGATCCTGTCCTCTTTTTTTTTTTTTTTTGTGAGACAGAGTCTCACTTTGTTGCCCAGGCAAGAGTGAGTGCCGTAGCGTCAGCCTAGTTGACAGCAACCTCAAACTCCTAGGCTCAAGCGATCCTCCTGTCTCAGCCTCCCAAGTAGCTGGGACTACAGGCATGCCCCCACTGCCCGGCTAATTTTTTCTATATATATAGTTGTCCAATTAATTTTTCTTCTATTATAGTAGAGACGGGGTCTCACTCTTGCTCAGGCTGATTTCGAACTCCTGACCTCAAGCAATCCGCCCGCCTCGGCCTCCCAGAGTGCTGGGATTACAGGCGTGAGCCACTGCGCCTGGCCTTATTCCTGTTCTCTTAATAACTCATTTGTCTCACTGCAGCCCATGGTCTTTTAAGAATGTAAACCAGGCCAGGCGCAGTGGCTCACGCCTGTAATCCTAGCACTCTGGGAGGCCGAGGCTGGAGGATCGTTTCAGCTCAGGAGTTTGAGACCAGCCTGAGCAAGAGAGAGACCCCGTCTCTACTAAAAATAGAAATAAATTAGCTAGACAACTAAATATATATATATATATATATATATTATATATATAATATATATATAATTAGCTGGCATGGTGGCACATGCCTGTAGTCCCAGCTACTCGGGAGGCTGAGGCAGGAGGATTGCTTGAGCCCAGGAGTTTGAGGTTGCTGTGAGCCAGGCTGATGGCACAGCAGTCTAGCCCGAACAACAGAGCAAGACTAAAAAAAAAGGAATGTAAAACAGACTATGTCAGTCCTCAGCTTATGGCTGGCCAAGGGCTCCTGACTGCTCTTAGGATAAAGTCCAGAATCCTCAATAAGACCATGCATAGTATTGGCCTTGCCCGCCTGTCCAAAGACATATCCTGCCATTCTTCTCCTTTTTCTCAGTTCTTCAAAAAATAGTCAGCTTTTTTCTGCCTCAAGGTCTTTGCACATGCTTCTCCCCCATGTTCAGAATACTCTTCCTACTAATATTTGCCTAAACCTACACTTATTCTACAGCTTCCCCTATGAAGCCCTGATCTCCATTATTTCCCCCTGGAGTTCTCCTTCATAACACCCAGCTCTTCCCCTTCATAGCACTATTAATTATCATTTGAGTTGATCTGCTTATTTTTTGACATTTCCCCCACTAAAATGGAAGCTCCATGAAGCCAGGAATTGTATCTGCTTTGTTCAGAGCCTGGTACAGAGTCTGTACTCAATAAAAATAGTAGCGATGATGATGGTGGTGGTTGTGGTGGTGGTGGTGGTGGTAGTAATGCATGGGTTTGAGACCTTTCTGTGAAAATCCAAGAACCATATGTTGCTTTTTGGAAATGTCCACTTTTCTAAGGAGATTGTCTTTTGCTTTCATCAGGTTCCTAGACGGGTCAGAATCTCCCATACATGTTAAGATCTCCAAGAGCATTTTTTGCCCTAAGGGTTGAAATTGCAGGAGACACTGAAATAAAGATTGGAGGAAAGAACTGATTCTAGGGGAGTCCATGATACCTCCCCTGCTCTCCCCTGAGTATGAGCAGAAATTTTTTCCTGGCACTATAGGAGGTCTCTGGCCTTTCAAGCACTTGTCCGGAAGTGGAGGATAGAGTAGCAATGACCAGTCTCCCGACTCCCTCCCTGCCCCTCCCAGCTCTCCATCCGGGGCCAGGTGAGCTCTAGACCTGTGCACCTGTCTCAGGCTCCTCCCACCGAGATAACGCCACTACCAACACCAGTGCTCACTCTGTGCTCCCTATCTTCCTAAACACGTTACATCTTCTTAAAACCCTTGAGGCCGGTAGTCTTCTTACCCTCATTTTACAGAGAAGGAAACTGAGGCACAGAAAAAGTACTTTCTTTTCCCCAAGGATCACATCACATCACCAGGAATCGAGAAACCAGAATTAGAACCCCAATCGTCTGCCTCCAAAGCACAGTGTGCCACAGAAACATTAAACAGAACCTGTCCCAACTTGAACACATCATCTTCCCCAAAACCTGTTCTTCCTTGGGCATTCTTCATCTCAGAAAATAGCACCAGCATCTCCCCAGTTGCTCAAGTCAAAAACCTGAGTCATCCTTGACTCTTCTTTCTTTTTTTATATGGAGCCGGTCAACATCAAAGCCAGTAAAAATCTTACCTTCAAAAACTCTCTCTGGAACAGGGGTCCTCAAACTTTTTAAACATGGGGCCAGTTCACTGTCCCTCAGACCATTGGAGAGTGCGCACTGTGGGCCCGGGACAAGTCGGCTGCTAAGCAGGACAGGCAGCGGCGGCAAAAACACCCAGAGGGCCGGATAAATGTGCTAGCGGCCTGCATGTGGCCCATGGGCCGTAGTTTGAGGACACTTGCTCTGGAACCCACCACTTGTCTCCTTTGCCATTGCCATCCAGGCCCACGGGCTGTTCTCTTGCTCACCTGACTGGTCTCCCAGCCTTTAGTCTTGTCCCCTAATCCATTCTCCATGCAACCATGGATCTTTCTAAACCCCAGATCCAACTGTGTCACTCCCCTGACTGGAACCTTTCAGTCACGTAACAATTGCACTCGGACTCTGTAGCCCGGTGACAAGACCCTTCATGGGCCGGCCTGTGCCCTTCCGTGCTCCGACCATTCTGAACCACCTTCAGTGTCTCACGTCACTCACGGTCTCTCACCTCTGAGCCTTTGCGCATGCTGTTCCTTCTGCCTGGAGCAGTGTGTCTTCCTCTCTCCCCCTTTACCTTGCTGTCTCCTCATCATTTAGGTATCAGGTTAGAGACCACCTGTGACAGAAAACCTCCCCTAAGCCCCCGAGTCTGGGCTTTACATGCGCCTCCAAAATATTCCAGTAGCAATCAATATCTCCCCCACGATGGCACCGGACACACTATAGAACAATCGCCCATTGACCTGTCTCTCCCACGCAGCTGCATTCTCTGCAAGGTCTAGCACTGTCCCTGGCACACAGTAGGCACATAATAAATGATGATTAAATGAATGCTTTTACACACAATTCCTTCTCTCAATAACAGTTTCATGGCTACACACCTTATCTTTCTTTCTTTCTTTCTTTTTTTTTTTTCTGAGACAGATTCTCACTCTGTTGCCCAGGCTAGAGTACCATGATATCAGCCTAGTTCACAGCAACCTCAGACTCTTGGGCTCAAGCAATCCTCCTGCCTTAGCCTCCCAAGTAGCTGGGACTACAGGTGTGTACCACCACACCCAGCTAACTGTTTCTATTATTAGTTGCCTGGCTAATTTTTTTCTTCTATTTTTTAGTAGAGACAGAGTCTTGTGCTTACTCAGGCTGGTCTCAAACTCCTGACCTCAACCAATCCTCCTGCCTCGGCCTCCCAGAGTGCTAGGGTTACAGGCATGAGCCACCACACCCGGCTGACATCTTATTTTCCAAATAAGCACATCCCTTGTGGACAGGGACTCAATAATTCTTCTGCAGCCCATAACAGAGCTCAACTGGATAGTGAGGGCACAGTGGTGTCGGACATTGTCCTTAGCAGAGGTATTCGTATTCCCGTTTGGCAGAGAAATTGTCACTTGCCCGTGATGACACAGGTGGTAAGAAGTAAAACCAGGACTAGACCTGGAGTGTCTGATTCTTGGTCCTGAGACTTCTCCCTGTGTTCACTCTAATGAACAAATTGTGAAGTTCTCAGGAAATACTGGATTATAAAGCAAAGTCTCCACTTAGCAGTGGGATTCCCGATGAGATGACAATGAACCTTTTGCACCCACCTGAGGCTGCCCTTGTACACTGCAGCCCCAGCCCCCGAGAAGGGAAGCCAGCTGAGGGCTCAGCTGCCCTGCACCCCTGCACCCCTTCCCTCCCACCCCCAGGAGCCTACCAGCCCGAGTGGCCCCCGTAGCCACAAGTCGCTGCAGGCCTTTCTTCTTGAGGATGACGCTGCTGCCGATGAGGAAGCTGGAGAGGAAGGCCAGGCCCAGGCCGATGTAGAAGCCGTAGCTCTGCCGGACCCTCTCCTGCCAGCTGATCGAGGTGGCATTGCTGGGCGCCTCAGGGACGAGGTCGCCGACGATCTGGCACAGGACTTGCTGGGAGGAGCAGTAGAGGTTGATCAGGGAGCCTGCATGGGAAGCCCAGGGCGAGAGAGTCATGTTGGGAACGTTTGCATGCTTTAAAAATGTCGGAATCAGCCACAATTTCAGACCCCATGCACCCCCTATTGCAGGGCTGCGCCCCCAACACTGCACCCCCACACTGCGCCCCCACACTGCTGAGCGATAATCCAGCCGGGGGCTTCCTACTTGCATGACCTGAACCAAGCTTTATAACCATTTATCAGGTAAGTGACATCTTTAATCCCATTTCACGGATGTGGACATTGAGGCAATGAGAGGTCAGATGCTTTGCTTAAGGACACAGTGACTCACTCCAGAACCCCAGCGTGTGACCAGTAAGCCGCACCGATGGCCCACACATCTGCGGGGCCACCTTCCCGCTGTCCACAGGACTCCTTCCCAGCCTCTGGGCATGTGGGCCTCCACTCCCTCCTATCCCTCCCCGGAGTCTCTCCCTCCCAGAGGCCTGTTCTCTCATATCCCTAAGCTCCAGCCGCAGTAGGAAGCCGCTGATGGGCCACGTGAGGAAGTGAGGCCAGGTCACCGACAGGCCCTTCCAGGCCCGAAGGTGACACAGCGGTGAGCTCCTGTCTGTCGGGACTGCCCATTCCCAGGCCCTGCCACCCATACAGCTCCTGTCGTTGAGGTCTTACCATAAAGCAGGTAGTGGACTAGGTCTTTCACCTGCATTATCTCACTTAATCCTTAAAACAACTCTAGACAATAGGTAGCTATTACCATTTTACTATCCCCATTCTAGAGATATAGAAACTGAGGCTGGCGTGCCCAGAAGTCCTAGAGTCCCCAAGTCCTAGAGTCCCCAGGAATCCAAATCAGCCCTATCCTACCCCTTCTTGCCCTTCTGAGACAAATGCCAAGCTCGGCAAGGACAAACCTAGGCACAATGGGATAGCCCCTAGTCAGAAGAACTACACAAGTTCAGCAACACAGTGCCAAGAATAGTCAATAATCCTCCAGTGCTGCTATTCATATGGTCCCCTGCTCTTGGGTTTTCCATGAGGGTTTCTAACAACCTCTCTGAAACAAAGCACAATGATCATTTCTAGGTTTTTAGTTGAAGAAACCAAGGCCCTGGTAACTTTAGTCACCTTCCTAAAGCTACATTTACAGTAAGTGGCAAACTCAGAATTGGACCCCAAACCCACCTGATGCCAAACCCATGCTCTTAACTCTGTCCCCCAATAAAGCAGGCAGCAAGGAGGGGAACAGGTACTCATGTGGCCTCCTAAGAGGTATTTTAAAATATGAATTTGTTACCAACATTTTAAAATGGGGAGATTTCCTGGGAAAATTCAGATTTAGGGCTATACTTCAAAATAAAAAAATCTGCTGACTTTACAAGTCCTGCCTTCTCATAAGGCGACAATTGGCCGTAGCTGGGCACCACTGCCCTGTGAAACAGGGCCTGCTCTCTGCCACCCCCCAGAGTCTCACCTGGCTCCTTCCGTCATTTGGCACGTGCCTGGCCTCTGTAGGCATTTGAGTGTGTACCTTTGGAGGTAGAAGGCTTTTTTCAAGCTGCATGTCACAAAGGCCCAAGCCCCTGTGCCAAGAACATAATCCTGGACCAAGAACTTCTCTGACCAAGCTAGAACTCCCAGCCAGTGCCTCAGAGGGCCCCAAAGTCCAAGGTCAGGCAGGCCTGGCTTTGGCACACCTGCAGTTCAGAGTGGCATCTTTAGAGGAACAGACTAAGGGCGATGTTGACCTTCCTTTCATGACCCAGAACCACAAACAACAGAGCTGTAAGAGTCTAACCCTCTTACTTCCAGCTGGGGAAACTGAGGCCCTGCAAAGGGGAAGGACTTGCTTGAGACACACCAACAGCTGGTGGTAGATCTGGGTCTGGAACCCACCCGGGGACATCCACGTGTCTTTTGCAGTGGGACAGCTCTCTTTCCAACACCTATGTTGCAATCAAGGGAAGACTAGACAAGAAGCCAGATCCGTCCCTAATCAGACTTGTTCTGCATTGCTCACTCCTGTTCCTCCGGCTCAGGCCTCCTTGCCCAAGAGCCAAATCTGGGGAGTTCCCAGGGCCCAGGAAATGAGCCAGAGCCCCGAGGATGTGGGCCAAGGAAGGTGACTCCAGAGAGGAAGGCCAAAATCCTTCTCATGCCTTTCCCCTGGTCCCAAAGGTGCATCTCTAGCAGGTGGAGCCAAAGGACCCACCGGGGACCTGGCTGTCACTGTGAGGCCTACAGCACTCAAGGGCTCAGCACCCTGCACTGAGCCAAGTTCTCCCATTATGGTGCAAAGAAAAAGAGAGGGCTGGTGGCCAAAGGAAATCCAGTTCTGCTCATCTGGAAATTGGGCACTGGGCTCAGTGATTCCTGTCTTCTCTTCCAGAATATGGTAGAGAAGACCCTGCGTTGTTGGTCAGAAAAGCAAAGCCAGACAAAGTCCCCCCTTCACTCCAGAAGGGAAGAAGGTGGAGAAGCCGTGATATCCCACAGGCTGCCATCCCAGGATGAGGCAGGAAGATAAAGCTACAACAAGGAAGGGGCTGAACGTACTAGCACAAGCACAGGCTTTAGAATGCAAGAGCCTTGGCTCTAATATTCCATTTCCCCGCTGTATTCCCTTGAGCAAATTATTAGCCTTGTCAGAGCCTCAGTTTCTATATCTGTAGAATGGGGATAGTAAAATGATAACACCTACCTGGAGTTGTTTTAAGGATTAAATGAGACGATGCAGGTAGAGAGCCTAGTCCACTACCTGGTTTATGGTAAGAACTCAACACGAGGTCAAGGGGCTTTCCTTATCCTTTCCTGAGGTTCTTTCCCTTTCTTTTCTAAAAGATGTGTGTGGGTTTGGGGGTCGCGAGTCTCTGTGTCTCCTCCATCTTCGGTGGCACTCGAAGTGACCCAGAGAGATAGTGCCCAAACTGGGCAGGCACTAAAATCTGAAGCAACTATACCGTAAATAAAAAAAAACACACCTGACTTCTCAGGCTGCCTGCTCCAGTCAAAATGCGCCCCCACCCCTTGTCCCTTTCCTCCCCTTACCCCCCTCGGCCACCCCAGCTGCAAGGCGGAGGCCAAGTCTCAGCCAGAACGCTGATCTTCCTTCCAGGCGGGGTGGGAGCCAGCCCGTGCAGCCCGCCCCTCCCCGCTGGGAGCCCGGGAAGGGAGGCTGGGCTGGAGAGGGTCGCCTCCCTGGTCCCCGCACGCACCGTTCTCGCAGCTGGCGTTGCTGACCCGCAGCTCCATGGGCCGTGGGCGCACGGACCGACGCGCGGGCGGACGGCGCCGGGCTCCGGAGCAGGTGGCCGCGACTTGTCCCCCGGCGTGGCTCGCGTGCGAGAAGCCGCCGGGGTCTGGATCCCGGAGTGGGGAGGATGACGCGCCCCAGAAGGGAGGGTCCCTGGGGGAGGAGTCACCCCGTGTCTTGGGCAACGCCGGGGGCGGGGGGGGGGCCCAGCGCAGAGGGGCGCGTGCCCTCCCGGGGTGCGGATGGTGCCCAGCTCCCAGACGCCGAGTCACCGCCCCGCACCACCCAGGCGAGGGGGCGGGTCCCGCGCGCCGCCTCTCGGGGACGCCTGGCCCGGCACCCGGCTCCAACCGCAGGGACGGAGCTCTTGGGCGCCTGGGTGGCGGGAGAGGGGACAGCTTCCGGGCAGGGCTAGAAGTGGCAGCTTAGGGGTGGGCAGGGGGCACCTGGGTTCATTCCTTTCCTCCCTCGCGGTCCTTTCCCTTCCTGGTTCCTTCATTCAACATAGTGCCCGGTGATCTGTGCCGGGAACCAGGGGGCAACAGGTACATAGTAGGTGCCTAATACATACTCGCTATGTATTTATGTTGAATGGATGATAGGGGCTTGTAAATTAAATGAAAGAAAGAAATGACATGATTAGAGACCAAAATGAATAGGACTGGTCCCTGTCTCCCAAGGACCTTATGTATTAATAGGGGAAACATAATGAGATCAAGTCTCCGGAGACTATTGTTTCCCAGATTACTATTTTATAAAAGGTGTGTGTGTGTAGTGATGAAAGTGTATTTGTCACTGTGGGTAACAGAAAAAAAACAAGTTAGAAGAACACTGACTGGGACCATAAAAACACGTAAGCAATGCTTGCTATATAGGCCAGCCAGAGTTCTAAGTACTGAGAAATTCCAGTTCACTTTATCCTCATGACAACTACACGAGATACATACTTTTATTATTTGCAGAAAGGAAACTGAGGCACAACGTGATCGCGTAACTTGCCCCGGATCTCAAAGAGCCAGGATCAAACACGTTGTCGTGGCCACACTGAGCCGTCTGGCATTTTAGACTGAAATAAACTCCTGCTTTGGGGCAGAGAGGGCGCGGGGCAGTGATGGGTTCTGACAGTGCTGGTGACCCGCTTCCTGGAGCAGGTGGCTTTTAGGAACAGTCAACCACTGAGTCTTCCCTGTGGGACACTGTACCAAGCCCTGGGGCATTATGCTGGGCAAGCCTCCTGCGAGGCCGGCAGCCTTCCTCTCTCCATCTTGCAGATGGGGGACAACTGTATTTAAACAATTTTTATTATGAGATAATTTGAGAGTCACAGAAGAGTTACAAAAATAGTATAGAGTGTTCTCCTATACTTGTCACCGTCTTCTCTTAATTTTAACATCTTGTATAGGAATAGAAACAACCATACTTTGAAATCCTCTGAGATACTTGCTCCCAAGATCCCACAGCTGGTGAATGGGGGAGCCAGGCATAGACAGCTGTTCTGTCCCCCAAGTCCACTTTCACACTTCTAGCTGGGTCTTAAAGGATGGATCCTCCCAGCATGGGGCTTCCCCTAGCTTCCTGAATTACTTTGAACAAGTTGCTTATTCTCCGTAAAGATCAGTTTCCTCATCTGTCAAATGTCCCTTTCCATGGGTGTGAACCACCATGGGGAGTGGGGCAGGGGTGGGTAGGGCAGACTTTAAAGAGAAAGGGAAGTGGCATTGCTAGATCAAATGGTATTTCTGTTTTTAGCTCTTTGAGGTATCTCCATATTACTTTCCAATAGTTTGCAGTCCCATCAGCAGTGTAAGAGTGTTTCAATCTTTCTACATCCACGCCAGCATTTGTTGTTTGGGCACTTTTTAATAAATGCCATTCTCACTGGAGTTAGGCGATATCTCATTGTGGTTTTGATTTGCATTTCCCTAATGATTAGAGATGTTGAACACCTTTTTATACGTTTGCTAGCCATCATTCTGCCTTCTTTTGAAAAGTTTCTGTTCATGTCCTTTGCCCATTTATGGATGGGGCTGTTTGACCTTTTCTTGTTAATTTTCCTGAGTTCTATACAGGGTGGGGGTGGGTAAAGTCACAACTAATGGAGGCAGGGCACACTGTATGGGGGAAGGGCATGCTTGTAGCCTTGGCTTGGGCTAGGCAGAGAGGCATTATATATAACCAAAATGTTTGTACCCTATAATATTCTGAAATAAAATGAATAGATAAAAGATGAAAAAAAATAAAGAGAAAGGGAAGTAGCAGTCATTGCCAACAGAGCACACACAAGTCCATGGGTCGTTAAGTGCACCCAGGCCTGCCCCTAGCTTTGGGGGGTATGCTGCCCAAGTTCAAACAGAGGTGAGTACCTCCAAGGCCAGTATGAGTTGGAACACAGGGCAACAAGAAACTGCATGATTAGCCCTACAGGAAATGATACTTCGTTATGGAAAAATATATCCACCCATGCTACCTGAGAGGGAGGATTTGACAAGAGAATTTAACTCACCTGTTCTCTTCCCTAAGCATTTCTGCTGTTCCAATCTTCCTTGTGCTACAAAACAGCATCCACTCTGAACTGGCCATGCTACAGCTCTCAAACTCTCACTGAATTCACACTCGATTGCTTTTGTTCCAAGTACACGGGGCAAAGAGACATGGACTATTTCCCTCCAGTCTGACATTCCCTCCCCCTCCCCCAGCTTTATTGAGGTATGGTTGACAAATAAAAACTATATGTATTTAATATGTACAGTGTGAGGATTTGATATAGGTGTACATTGTGAAATGATTACCACAATCAAGCTAATGAATACATCTATCACCTCACATAGTTACTGTGTGTATGTGTGTGTTGAAAACACAAGATCTAGTAGCTTCCCTTAGTGGCTGACTTTTTAAATCACAAGAGAGGAGGTTTAGGATTGCAGTTTCCAGAATTAAGCCCAGACCCTGAGACACAGAGATGCCCATGCGTGTTCTTTAATGCACTTATTTTTGTATGTGCTTGTGCTTTGTGGAGCCACTAAATTTCAGGGTCCAGGGCAGAAGCCCCCTTGTCTGGGGTTAAGGGTAATCATGAATCCATCCTGTACTTTGAGACGAGCCTTTTCAGAGCTTGGTGAAGTTCTTGTTTTAGGTCAGTGGTAGGAGGTAGAGGGAGCTGGGACCCACAGCAGGGCTTTCCACACCCTCTCTGGGCCTCAGGCTCCCCATCTGTCCCAGGAGGGGGCAGGGCCTCGCCAGGGCTGGCATCAGAGCATCCCACCAGCGCAGACATAAAGGGCCCCATTGAACCGCAGGCTCCTCGGCTGCTGGCCTGACAAAGCCCTTTTCTCCTCGGGCCACAATGGCCCTGTCAGGCAGGTAGCAGGGCCTACAGCATTGTCTCCCCGGAGAAGAACAACAGGGCTCCTTGTCTGTCCCAGGCTCAGTCTCCCTGGGGAGGGCGGGAACCTTTAGAAGGGTCTGCCCAGCCAGGACAGATGGGCTGTCTCTTTAGCCAGCCAGGGACTGTGACCTAGCCACAATTCTCAGAGATGAGCAGAAAAAAAAATGTAGCAAAACTCAAGTTCCTAAAAAGTTGACTTTTCTAGGTGCATGTCGACATGTTTTATGCTACAGAGCTGCACCATCCAATAGGGTAGTCACCAGCCTCATGTGCCTACTGAGAATCTGACAAGCAGCTAATCAGAATGGTGACATGCTGCAAGTGTAAAACAGGCTCTGTTAACATTTTTGAGCAGATCGCCTTGCTGTGTGTTGTAGAATGTTCAAGAACATCCCTGGCCTCAGTCCCCTAGATGCCAACAGCACACACACACTGCCACCCCTTATCCCCCTGGATTTGGCAGATAAAACCATCCCCAGACAACTGCCAGAATTGCCCTGGGTTGAAAATCATCCAGATTTCAAAGACTTACTAAGAAAAAAAAATAATGCAAAATATATCATTAATGATTTTTGAATATTGAGTGCATGTTGAAATGCTAATATTTTGGCTATATTGGGTTGAGTAAAATTATTATTAATTTTCCCTATTCATTTTACTTTCTATAAAGTGGTTGCTAAACTATTTTAAATTACATGTGTGGGTCATGTTATGTTTCTACTGGGCAGTGCTGTTATAGAAGAAGAAACTGAGGGCCAGAGGGGGAGAGTGATCAGCAGAAGGTCACAAAGCAGCAGAGAGGCAGAGCCAGGGCCCCAGCTGGGTTTTCAGACCAGCACCCCAGACCAACTTTACTACTCCACACAGCTTCCCAACTGAAAGGAAATCCCAAAATCAATGCATTGGGTTTTTCCCGTATGGTATGGTCAAAGAGTACCGGAGGGGAATAGAGAGTAGAGACGTGAATAATATTAATGCCATTATTACTATATGTCATATGCGTGCTCATTTAATCCTTGCAACAATTCTGGCAAGCAGGATCTGTCGTTATCACCATTTTCCACGAGGAAACCAAAGTCCTGGGAGGACACTTAGCCTGCAAGTTGGGAAGCTAAGCATCAAACCCAGATACTCTTTTCAATACTACACATACTGTCTTATGGTCTTAGGTCTAGTAACACTCTGTGAGACTCGGGTGGGTAGGTCACTTTGCTTCCTTGCATCCTACCCTGGGTAAGAGGACTGGGCAAGATATCATCTGAAGTCCTTTTTAGCCCTGCAGAGCTGGTCTTCTGGGCAGGGTAGGGAGGGACAGATGGCTGTCACCTCCTTCAGGCTGATGGGAGTCATGGAATCTGGACAGTCAGCATGCAGAGGTTGGCCCACCCTTTTCCGGGTACGTCCGTAGGATGGCTACTGGCCTCATAAAGAGCTTTGTTGACATCAGAAATAATGCTTGGAATGGACATAGGTACACTTGGTTAGGCTCTAAGAAGAGCACCATGCCCAACAATGGGGGCCATGAGCAACTGGCATCAATGATGAGTATTGAAACAACTCTATTATTGAGTTCTCCTTCTGTGTGCTAAGCACTTGCAGACATTAGCTCATGTGCCCTCTACAATCTCTTACTCTGGGTACCTTTTTAAATCCTGTTCTACAGAAGAAGGAACTGAGGCTCAGAGAGGTGGAGTGACTTTGGCAAGGTCACACAGAGTGATAGAGATAGAACTTGAAGCTG